AAATGAGCATCCCGCACAGGTACTTCCGGTGGGGTGTGCTTAGAGAGCCACTCCAAGCACTCTAGGTGTGCTCCTGGATAAAATAGCACGGATTCCAAAATAAAATATTTAATAAAATACAAAATTTTAAAATACATTTTTTTAAATTCTCTATTTTATTTATTGAATAATTTAATTTCGGTCAATCGAGCAGGATAGTCCCTGGCTTTGTACATGTTTGACGCAATGAACATAAAGTAACATTTTTCATTTAAAATTAAACACTGATATTAACTTGGTAGTTTTGCACGTCTCATCGACATGTAATTGGAATTTTTAAAAAAACTCTAAGTACGAAAGTGTGAAGCAGGTTCATTTTCGGTCAAACGAGCGCAAATTTCATATAACTCTGAGCCTATTGTGCACAGTTCATGGAAAAAGTTTCGGTCAAGCGTGATAAATCAGCTGAAAATACGTCTGTTTTGGCACATTTGGTAGAAAAATGAGGAATTAGTAATTGTAGGGTAATTTCGGACAAGTGTGCGTATATCATGTGAGCCATGCCCTCTTGTTAAGTTTAGTGCGGTGTTTAATTTGAGTTTGTTACGGATGTTCCTAAATTAAAGACTTCTTTGATTAAAGTGAACACTTGCCCTGGATTAAGTTAACGGGTTATGTTACGATCTAATTTAATCATGTCAATAAGTTAAGAGGCTTGTCTTCGTGAACAGCGTGACTTGAACGGGACAAAAGCGAGGAAAGGGACTAGCTTCCATTAATTGAGCATCGACATCAAGCACGCGCTTTTCAAGGCAATAAATACGATAATGTTAAGTCAGTCCTATGAATGCAAGATTTAATTAAATTTAATAAAAACTTGTAAGCCGCTAGATGGCGCTGCCGTCTACTTCAATCCCTTAGCTCGCGGAGTTCACTAGCATAGCCGCTAGCATAAGGTGCGCAGGCGGATCCCTCTGAACCAGTCGCGCTCAGAGGAGTCCGATCTCCTGATTTTTGACTTGGTTCCTCTAGGCAGGTGTCTAGGGGGATCTTACCCGGCCTCAGGTTCTCTGTCGAACATCCATCCGAAATTATCGAACCAGTTCAAACGTTTCCCGGTTTTAATCAAAACTTCTTTAATTAAATTACTTTAACTTTAACAAGGGATTTTATTAAAAGATTTTAATTAAAACCAAAAAATTGAATTAAAACTTGTTAATTTTAACAATATTTAACTAGTTTTTGTTAACGGAAAGAGCCTATGACGTGCTACCTGGATGCATTATTGGTAGCTGCTTCACCAATCTGGCCTTATTAACGGGCCCTTAACAAAAGTTAATAAGAAACTTCATTAAAGTTAATTAAATTTTATAAAACTGGTATTTGTTAAATATTAATGAAAACTTAATAAAGATTTAATATAACATTTATTAAATTTAATTAAGGCCATTTTACGAGGGCGCTCGGCTCGGCTCATCGGCGGCGTGCGGGGCTGGCGGGGCTGGCGGGGCTGGCGGGGCTGGCGGGGCTGGCGGCTGGCGGGGCTGGCGCCGGCCAGACGGGCAGGCAGCCAAGGAGGCTGCGTGGATCGGATCGGAGAGTCGGCGGCACGGCGGCACGGCCACCGCGGCTTGCCTTCGCGCTTGGCGCAGCCGTCAACCTGTCACCACGCCGTCCTGCCGCGGGCCCGTCTTGTTCGGAGGGCCTGATTCTAATTTAGCCTAATTTTAGCCAGGGCCGCGGACACCACCACCAACAACAACAATTAGACTGCCGTTGTCTGTCGGCCGACTTATAAATCCTGCCTCCTAATATCTCCTATCTCGGGCACAACTTTGTTGGCATGCCTCCGTTGGTTGGCTGGGCTGGTTGGCCGAGGGCGGCCGAGGGTTGGCGCTGGTTGTTGGAGGGAGCGGCCGCACTGGGAAGGGGAAAGCTGCGCCGCGCCGCCCTGCATTTGCTTTGCTCTGATAAGACAACAGCCGCACAGTGGGCCAGAAGACCGGTGGAGGTGGACAAAACTCCAGACGCGTTTTGAGCTCCAGAGTCGCTAAATGGGACTCGAACCGAACGTGTGACCCCACCAATGGATTCGTCGTTCGGAGAGCAATCCATTGGTGGGGTCACACGTTCGGTTCGAGTCCCATTTAGCGACTCTGGAGCTCAGAACGCGTCTGGAGTTTTGTCCGCCTCCGCCGGTCTTCTGGCCCACTGTGAGCCGGGCCGGGCCGGGCCGCCCTGCAGCAGCCATGGGGCAGCGTACAGTGCACCTCCAACAAGGACAACAAGAGCACAAACAAGAAGCGGGTGCCAATTAAGGCACTTTGCACCCCTTTTGCGTTCCGCGCGCTGTGTTCAAGGCTTCAAGTGAGGGGAGGGGAGGGGAGGGGGTGGACGCCGTGACAGACTGTCCGTCAATGCCTTTATTAAAAGTGGCGGGGAGGCGCACGGCGCGGCACGGTTCTGCGGGTGGGTGGGGTGGACCCCTCGCAGGCGTGGGGCAGTCCCAGCCCCAGCCGGCGACCCCCAGCACAAGACGGATCGGTTACACCGTTCGCAAAGCCGGAGAAAACGGCCCCTAAAATTAATTAAACTAACCGACTTCACAGCACCGAGCACAATAAGGGAACAATGTCACGGAGAATGCAGTATTCCAATGAAAATTTCCCACTTACGTTTCAACAGGGAAATAATTTTAATTTTTTTTTTACCAAGTCGAATGTTGCGTGACGATGAGAATGGATTCTATTTTCGCGGGAAGCCTGTGTTTTCGTGTTTTCCCGGTCTTTGATGGTAATTTAGGATGGCGGCGTGGGCGATGGGCGCGGCGGCAGCTGCGTGGCGTCGCGGGGGTCGTGGCGGCGCGGTGGCGTGGCGGGTCAGGCGAAATGAAAAGTCACATCCACTCTCCCTCTCCCTCTCCCTCTCTCTCTCTCTCTCTCCCTCTCTCTCTCTCTCTCTCTCTCTCTCTCTCTCTCTCTCTCTCCCCCCCCCCCCCTCTCTCTCTCTCTCTCTCTCTCCCTCTCTCCCTCTCTCTCTCTCTCTCCCTCTCTCTCTCTGTCCCTCGCCCCATTGCGTCTCCGCGGGGGGCGTGCGAAGGACGGCCCTCGAACGCAGCCGGCCTGAACAGGGAGCTGCATTTCGTAGAGCGGCAGGTACCCCTGTTCGCCCCTGTTGTGTTCCAAAGTTGGAATTCTGTCGTTCTTGTTCGAAGCCACCCGCTGGTGCCCGATGGTGCCCGATGGTGCCCGATGGTGCCCGATGGTGGTCGTTTTCCGCCGAGCGCACTGAGAATGAAAGAGTCATGATCATGACTAAAATTTTGGGTGAGGAATTCTTTATTGCCCAAATTTGGGTGAGGAAATTTTCCTCGCCCAAATTTGGGTGAGGAAAGTTTCCTCACCCAAATTTGGGTCATAATACTATGGTGCTATATAGGGAGCTGATACACCCTTTCTCACCCAAATTTGGGTGAGAAAGTGAACCTCGCCCAAAATTGGGTATTGATCATGACTTTTTCATTCTCAGTGCGGGCTCACGAAGCTGATTGCGAGCTCGTTGCAGCGAACGACCCTTGCCGGCGTGGCCGAGGCGTGGCGGCGCGGGGACGCGGCGTAAACATGTCACCGTCACCCGGAGGGACTTATTAAAAAGGGCCGGACGAAGCCGAAGCATTTGCCGAAGCCCAAGGCGTTGTCTGGAGAGTCTGAGGCTCTCGCCGTCCCGTCGCGGTGCCGTCCCGGCTTTGCGGCGGCCGTGCGCCGTCGCTGGCTGATTGCCTACCGCCGTCGTGGCCGCCGTCGTGCGGTCACGCCCCGCCCCGCCCCGCCCCGCCCCGCCCCGCCCCGCCTTTCCCGCCGCAAGCCGCGTCAATGTCTGGCCGCACGGGGGGCCGCCTAGTCGCTCCGGGCCGCCGCTTCGCTGCTCCCACGTTTACGGCTAAGAGTCCCGACAGCGCACTGGGTACTTCCCCGGTACCTCCCGGCCTGCCGCGCTCCTTCGCTGCCGCTGGATAGAGCAATAAATCGGATGTAAATCCCCCGCGGCTTGTGGCGCGGTGTGCAACAAGGTGCGGCCCGCGGCCACCGCGCGGCCTCCCTGCAGACCCATTCCGAACTGCGCTCTTGCTGCCGCTCACTCGGTCTCTCTCGCACTCATGGCGCGTGCGGGAAGGTCCGTGGAGGACGGGCGGCTCTCCCGTCTTCACTAGGTTGGGTGGTTTGGGGCCTTCTGGCGGATAGGCGGGGCGCGAACAACTTTGTAGTGCATCTCCGCACAATGCAGGTGGTCCCTTAGGGAATGACATGCCGTGGCGACAGCAGTGCAACGTCGCAACGTCGGCATCTCGGCGCGTCTGCCTGTTGGTGGCCCTGTGCCGCACGCCCATGAGACTGATTCCGAAAGTCGTTTCCGTCGCTCTGTCGTCTCTCTCGCACTCGTGGGGCCTCCCCTTTAGGTGCGAGAGAGACAGGGCGACGAAAGCGACTCTCGGAATCAGTGTGCAGTGCCCCGGCTCCGCGCAATTAACCCATCGCGCTGCCATCTCGGCCCCGCGGGCGAGTGTTTTGCACAATCAAATCACCTCGACACACACACGCACACGGGCACACTGGATGGATCGCTTTTGCCCAGCGGCCGTCGCTCGTTTCCAGCCAGGGCCCTCCTGCATCTGTTTGCCTTGGACTCGATGAGCATGGCGGGGCGGGGCGGGGCGGGGCTCGCAGTCACTTGGAAGACGCTGCTGATGCACCCCCTGAAGGCACTCCTCAGCCTCCCCTCCCGTACTCGGTTCTGTACTCAGCAAATAAATAGGGCCCGCGGCTGTGTGAGCGTGTGTGTGTGTGTGCGTGTGTGTGCGCGCGCATGCTGGTGTACAGCACTTGGCTAAAATGGCAACGGCGTTGCCGTCCCCCTCTCTCGCGGTCACGCTAGTCGGGAAGGGACAATCTGTTGGTGATTTCTTCGTGTATCGCTGCAAAACGTGATTGTAATTTGTGTGTTTTTTTCCTGTTTGGTTCCAGGTGAGTCCCAGTGCACGATGCTGGTCGCTGGCGAGTCCGCTCGCCGCCTGGCAGTCCTGACAGTCCCTGCCGGGGGTCTTGTTCTTGTGGTCGACGGATGCGGCGATGCGGGCCGGAGAATGGCAGGGTGTTTACTCCTATTCGACGTTCTGTCACACTCGGCCGCCTTCCCTCTCCTCTATCCCAATTTCAATTCCACCACGAAAAAACAGAAATAGTAGAAAGAACACAACGAGCATTCGTCACTGTTATCCCCGTCCCCCTCGCGCGGGGGGGGGGGGGGGCTGATGAAGATTGTGGCCGCGCGGCCGGGCAAACGGCAGAGCCAGCAGCATCGTTCCAATCAATGAGGAGGCAATGGACTAGCGTCGCCGCGTCGCCGCGTCGCCCCCTTGGCTGCTCTGCTGCTGGCCGCGCGGCCGACGCCCAGTAGGTGGTCCTCGCGGAGGGTGTTGTCGAGCTGCGTCAGGCCCTGGCAGTGGTGTCGCCCAGAGACCGTCGCTCTGTCTCTCTCGCACTCACGGGGCGTCCCGCATAGGTGCGAGAGAGACAGAGCGACGAGAACGACTCTCGGAATCAGTCCACAGTCGCCCGGTCGAGTAATGGACACTAAACCGGCCCACCATACCATTGTGTCTGCCGGCCGGGCCTGCCGGCCGGCACTCTACGTGCTGCAGCAAATTAGAGTTTAATGTTTGATCGCGATGTGTTACTGCCATTGCGCGGCCCGGCCTTACCAGTGTAGTAATTGGTAGCGCTCGCTTAGTGGCGCGCGAGGGAAGGCGACAGAGTCCACCGGGTCGACGACGACGACGTCGACGTTGAACAGTGGGCCAGAAGACCGGTGGAGGCGGCCAAAACTCTAGACGCGTTTTGAGCTCCAGAGTCGCTAAATGGGACTTGAACCGAGGTCGCGACACGTTCGGTTCGAGGCCCATTCAGCGACTCTGGAGCTCAAAACGCGTCTAGAGTTTTGGCCGCCTCCACCGGTCTTCTGGCCCACTGTGCGTTGTGGAGGGTGAGGTTGGCCGTCGACGCGCACTGCGCGCTCTTTGGCTTTTGGCGGTGTTTTCCTGCCGTCGTGCCTGGGTTCGCGCCTCGCTCGTGGTTCGCGCGCTTTCCTATCGGCCTTGTCGTGCACGACCTGCGGACTGATTCCGAGAGTCGTTTTCGTCGCTCCGTCCCTCTCGCACCTTCACGGGGTGCCCCTGAGTGAGAGGGAGACAGAGCGACGAAAACGACTCTCGGAATCAGTCTGCAGCACGGCCCGCGTGCCAAGGACGCGCACGCCGTCTGGGGCGTCGCTGGCGGCGCTGGCGGCGGGGCGCCCGGGGCCCGCGGGGCGCTACAGTGGGGTGGACGCGTCGCGCGTGCGCCGCCCGGAACGAGTCCTGGCGGCACTGCCAACGGACTCAAAGGACCAGCGGGCTGTCGCTCTGTCTCTCTCGCACCCCTACGGCACGTACGGGCGGCCCCTTGAGTGCGAGAGAGACAGAGCGCCGCTGGCCGTCATGACGACGTGGCGGCGACGTGTGCAGGCCGCCGACGCAACGACGTGATTGGCGTGTGGTACAGTGTAGCGTGCCCAGGCGTGCCGCCGCCGCGACGAGGAGATTTAGATTTGGATCGCGGTGGCGTGCCACAGTGGGCCAGAAGGCCGGTGGAGGTGGCCAAAACTCTAGACGCGTTTTGAGCTCCAGAGTCGCTAAACAGGCCTCGAAACGAACGTGTGACCCCACCAGAGGATTCCTCGTTCGGAGAGCAATCCATTGGCGGGGTCAACGTTCGGTTCGAGTCCCATTTAGCGACTCTGGAGCTCAAAACGCGTCGAGAGTTTTGGCCGCCTCCACCAGTCTTCTGGCCCACTGTGCGTGCCCCGTGTTCCTCCCCGACAGATCCACTCTCTTTTGGCGGGGGATTCATTCGGGAGCGAGTGGCTGTGATTGGCCATTGTGGGCGGACGGGACGAGCGGCAGGGAGCACTGCTGGATAATGTCAAGTCCAACCTGCCGTGTCTGCCTGCGGCTCGGCCTGCGGCTTGCACTGCACTGCACCGCCAGCAGCACCTCTGTGTGGACAGCTGCCGCCCAGACCGATTCCGAGTCGTTTTTGTCGCTCTGTCTCTCTCGCACCCTTTCGGCGTCACCTATAGGCGCGAGGGAGACAGAGCGACGAAAACAACTCTCGGAATCAGTCAGCAGGCGTCACCGCGGTCATTCCCCCTCGGAAAAAAATTACAATGGATCAAGTCGGAAATCCCGGACACCGGACTCGCCAGCCGTGCCAACCCTCCAGTCGGCGTGGTGATGGTGCGCTATAGATTGACTGCGACTTTTTTTCCAATTTCCCTTTGTGGTCGCGTCAGAAAGTGTCAAAACTGGTGTCGTTTCGCTTTCCGCTGTCCCCCCTCGCCCACCGCCGCGCCTGCCGCGCACAGTGGGCCAGAAGACCGGTGGAGGCGGACTAAACTCTGGACGCGTTTTGAGCTCCAGAGTCGCTAAATGGGACTCGAACCAAACGTGTGACCTCACCAATGGATTCCTCGTTCAGAGAGCAATCCATTGGTGGGGTCACACTTTCGGTTCGAGTCCCATTTAGCGACTCTGGAGCTCAAAACGCGTCCAGAGTTTTGTCGTCCGCCTCCACCGGTCTTCTGGCCCACTGTGCCGCGCCGGTGAACCGTGAACCCTGGCAGGCTGGCCGTGCGCTGCGCGCCCCGCGCTCGCGACACCACACTGGTGCATTGTGCCCTTTGTGGACGTGTTGCACAGTGCGGTGTGTGCTGCAGCCAGGCTCCGCCCGGCCGGACCGAAAAAAAAGGGAAACAACAACAACAAATGAAATTGTGGCATCCTGTTCAGATTCCGATTCGGTTGCATATGGATCGGGAATCGCGGGGCGGGCAGGCAAATCAGTCAAGCCAATAAAACCAGTGGGCTGGACGGACACGGACACTCCCTCGCAATCAAACTCTGAATCGGGCGATTTGGGCGAATGCAGTCGACTGTCGCAGTGTTTGTCTGTCTGTCTGCCTGTCTCTCTCGCTCGCGCCGGGAGGGAAGCCCCGTGAGTGCGAGAGAGACAACCGTGCAGGCGAAGGCCGCTTGTCCTCGCGGTGCATCTGCCAGTGGCCTGACTGGCCGCCACCCCACGCTGCATACTCCGCCGCAGTGGCACCCTGCCCAGGCGACCGCAATGGCGTTTACACGGTCAAGCTCCCCGTCGACGCGTCAAAGGCCCTGGCCGTGGCTGGACGCCGCCGCCCCGCCTCCGTGGCCGGGCGGTTCCGCGAAGACAGCTGTGCCCCCCCCCTCCCCTGGTGCGTGGATCAGGGAGTCGCGTGCGCCGAAGGCTGGCCAAAGGTGAAGAGGGATTTGGCCGGCCGGCTGTGTACACAACACAAAACACACGCCGGAGATTGCGATCGGAGGATAACCAATCAACAGCGCTTTGAATAATACGCCGTTGATGGTGGACCGCCGCGCTGGCTTCCCGGCAGGACGGCGGGAAAAACAGCGGATGACTTTTTGAAATGAATGCGTTTGTGATTGGTTACTGTCACGAAGCATCAATGGTCCGCGTATGGCGTATGACCCCCTGGTGGTGATGTGCAATGTGCACGCGCGGAGTTCGGAGTTCGGCCAGGTTGACGCACTGCTTGGTGACGTGGCGGATCGTGCAAATGAATTTGCGCCCCGCCGCGCCCTGCACGGCCTTTGTCACTTTGCCCCGCCCCGCCGCGCCCAACCGCACGGCGATGACGCCGCGGCCTAATGTGCTGGAACCGCGCGGGCCTGCGGGGATAATCCCCGACGCGATGGGGCAGGCCATGGCAGGCCATGGACGTCGTGATCGTGCACCACGGCGACCGCGGCGTCCGGCCGGCTCAGCGTCCGGCCGCCTCGTCGCTCAAACACCACCACACCAGTAAATGTAAATAAATACGCGCATCGCGCGACACACGCACGCAAGCGGCAGACGGCGGCAAGCCTGGCAGGGCGCAGTCCGAGGGAACGGCGCGTCGCGGATTGGTGGAGCGCAAGCCGTGAGTTGGAACCTCTAACTTGAACTTGAAGTCAAGTCTGTGTCGCTCTGTCGGTCTCTCTCGCACCCCTACGGGACGCGCCGTGAGTGCGACGGAGACAGCGCGAGCGACGATTGGGTCCTTCGGAGTGGGTCGGCCGCATGGCCTGACTGGCGCACAGTGGGCCAGAAGACCGGTGGAGGCGGCTAAAACTCCAGACGAGTTTTGAGCTCCGAGTCGCTTAACAGTAAACTCGAACCGAGCGTGTGACCCCACCAATGGATTCCTCTTTCGGAGAGCAATCCATTGGTGGGGTCGCACGTTCGGTTAGAGACCTATTTAGCGACTCTGGAGCTCAAAACGCATCTAGAGTTTTGGCCGCCTCCACCGGTCTTCTGGCCCACTGTGTGGCGCCGCTGATGAGGTCCTTCAGCGCACGCGTGGCGGCGCTCTCTGCACGCTCGGAGACCGGGGGGTCGCTCTCGTCGCGCTGTCTCTCTCGCACCCACACGGGACGCCCCGCGAGTGCGAGAGAGACAGAGCGACGAAAAACGACTCTCGGAATCAGTCTGCTGCACGCCCACCTAGGCACGTGCGGCCTCCAAATTGCGCGGGGCGCGGAAGAAGCGCGAGGAGGGCGTGGCGGCGGAGGGCGTCTCGGCGAGCACGTGCCCGCCGTGCCCTCCCCGATGAACACGCCGTGCACGCCGCCACGCCGCGCACGCACGCTGACGCCACCCCTCGGCCTGCCTGCCCTAGCACAATGTGGTGTGTGCGCGCGCGCGCGCGTGTCTGTGTGTGTGTGTGTGTGTGTGTGTGTGTGTGTGTCCCCCGGTGCAACACCTGGCCTGCAGCGTGCCTCCCCCCTCCCTCCCCCCCCCCCCCCGGGCCACAATGGGACGCGAACAGCCCGGCGCTGTGGCGCGCAGCGCGCGACTTCGGAGCAAAAACCCAAATGTGCATCACTCATCCGCTAGAGTATTTTCGCCTCGCGGCGATGAATGAATGAATGAAGCAATGAATGAATGAATGAAGCCGTTCGTCTTGTCGACCCAGTTTCGCAATGGAAACAGTAGTTGATTGAGTCGTGTTTTTTCCGCTATGCATATTAATCCCTCGATTTAATGTGCAATAATTTATTTAAACGATTGCATCCGCGGTGCGGCGAATCGCGTGCGCATCCGCTATTGGCAG